CCATACATTATGTCAGGAAGAAATACTGCTACAAGAATTACCCTTCTTTTATTGTTTATCAAAATTGGCCTCTTTGTATAATGACACGTGGTCTGAAACAGGAAAGCATTTCGCTAGTACTTAGTACAGGCCTACTAATACTCTAATATCGAATTCTGTTGCTCAGGGTTAGCTTAAATCTTGTAAGATCTCCATGTGTTCCAGTGAATGTCCGTGGAATTTCAAGCTGTTTTTCTGAAGTTGTGCATTCTTTACTTTACTTTTGGTATAAACCCCTTGCACCATTCCCAAAACCATCAATAGACCCCCCTTGCATTGAATTCCTAGAGGAATTGTTCTGGGGGACAAAACAAAAGATTTTTTTTTGCATAAGAAAAGACGGCCTATTGTTTTGTCCCCCAGAACAATTCCTCTAGGAATTCAATGCAAGGGGGGTCTATTGATGGTTTTCACAGCCGCCATGTTGGATAAATCTAGCAAAAATTCGTTATTAATCGATCTCTTTCGTTATATCAGCCAACATGGCCGCCGTGTCTTTTGTTATTTCATTCTCTTGGGAATGATTGAAAACCAGCAATTTGTAAATATGTCTCTAATCGAAGTCTTGACGATTTTTCTAGCGTTTTAAGCAGCAATATTAATTGCTGTTATTTTACACGACGTTAAACGTGGTTAAAATGCCACATGTAAAAAGGCACTTTATCAAGTAATTAAAAAAGGGCGCTTTGAGGAAAGAGATAGGAGAGCACCCCCTGGGTTCGCCCCTGAGGAACACAGCGTCATCTGGCTAATTCGAAAACGGCCTTTCACTCACCCATCGCTTAAACACATCTCTAGGTGGTGGGTTATTCTTTTCTTCTGCTCTCCTGTCACACGTACATGCTTTTCTGTGCACACAACAGCCCTCGTCCATGACTGACGGCAAGGATGATGGTATAGATGTAGCAGTCTTCGTGGATGGGAGGTGGTCAGCGGTGTTGCTGTGGGAAGCATTTATGGGTGGACAATGGAATCTGATGAACCAGAAAGATATTCTAATATTAGTTTTATAATCCAGGTGTGGACGAAGTGTTGGTAGGCTGTAGGTATCCTTATTCCGGCTCATTTATTTCCAAGCAAGAATGGCTATTAAGTGTCTCATCATTTCCTTCTAACAAACAGCCATACTGTACACACCAATCACCGCCGTAACAACACTAAAAGGAGGATTCATTCGAATGGAATTTAGCTACTTTTTTTGCAAAGTGTGGAAGACTGAAGCACCCAAAGGAAAACCCTTGAAGTTCAGATTAAACCAGCAAACAACTCTACTCATGTGATAGTGTCTCTGAGAATCAAACTTACAGCCACAGTCAAAGGCAGCACATAAGCAGTGCGTCTCGGGCTGAGAAATAACATTTCTAGTCAGCATGCACGAGAAGTTGTAATGCCAAGTCCAGGAGACCCCCTGAGGTGAGGGGGGAGTGCACTGCACCTTGACTCCCAAGCCTATGACTACAGCAGTAAGAGCTGATGCACATGTGACGCAGATGAGAAGTTCTGCTGCATACCTGTCATGAAGCGTGGCTACTGATCCATTTGTACCGATGAATGTCGGATGTTCTCGGGAGTTTGACAATCTTCTCTGGTAAAGAAACTCAATGTGTGGTTTTGCAACTGTCTTCGTAGATTTGTATTCAAAAATATCTCTGAAAGAACCAAAAAGACAAATTAAGTCTTACCCCTCCCTAGAGGAAAGTCACTAGATCGTAACCTCACCCTTCCCTAGAGGAAAGTCACTGGTTCCTAACCTTACCCCTCCCTATAGGAAAGTCACTAAATCGTAATCTCAGCCCTTATAACTAGAGGAACGTCAGCTGATTGTAACCTCACCCCTCCCTAGAGGAAAGT